TTATTGAACGTTATTCCATTATATGGCTTGATGAAGAATGACATATAATTATACTGGTATTGATGAAGTATGAGGCATGATAGTGCTAGTATTGACGAAGCATGCACGGAATGGGTATGGGGCGCATAATAAATGACTAAACTAAAGCAATGTTCCCAGGGCCCGGTCTCCGAGCAGGTCTCCCGGTTGGTGGTCTGGCCAACCAGGCTTTTAGATCCAGCTGCATGCATGTATCATGTCACTGACGAACTCACCCAACACCGACGGGAAAGTTCGGTGATGGGTATGAAAAGTGGGATGGGAATGGGGAAGGGGGGATGGGAGAGAAGGGGGGGGGGAGTATTTATAAAGGGGAAGAAGGTAGAGGGGTTTAGGGAGTACTGGATGACCCAGTACAGTGGCACTTGGTTGTATCGCATATAATTCACAATGTGGGTAGTGCCAAGAGTCAGCGGTGGTCCAATACACATGACTTGTTATATCGGAGACCTGGTCGAGGACCGGGCCGCGGGGACGCTAAGCCCCGAAACCATCTCAAGGTACCTCTTCAAGTTCAAGTTAAAGTATGTTTATTGAGACAAGAAAGAAATACATCTCTAAGGGATAGAGTAGCTTAGGCTATTTCTACCCCTCCAAGGTACCTATCGACCACTGTAACTGCCCCCCAGCAAACGAGCCGCAACCAAGCAACAACTTTGAGATGTACTACACAAACACAGCAGAAGTCTAAGTAATTAAGATAATTATTACACTAACTAAGATATTATTACACTAACCAAAACATGGATGAATGTCGAAAACAGGGAACTAGTAACTGAATGTTAATTAGAGAATGAAATTATTTCACACTGACAGATTAGACGTAGATGGGAAGTGGACGTAGATGGGACATAGACGTAGATGGGACATAGACGTAGATGGGACATAGACGTAGATGGGACATAGACGTAGATGGGACATAGACGTAGATGGGACATAGACGTAGATGGGAAGTGGCCGTAGATGGGACATAGACGTAGATGGGACATAGACGTAGAGGGGGAAGTAGAAAGAGGGAGAATTTAAAATATAGTGTAAAAGAGGGGAACAAAACTGTATCGCATCTAGAAATGATTTCATTAGAATTAAATTAAAAAAGTAACAATCTAGTTATATAATGGAATTACTGCAAATACAGCATGAAATATCTAGAGTATCTAGAGCGGACAATGTTTATTTTATTAGTGACCTATGGTGTAAAAGAAGATATTTTAAATTAGTTGACGAGTGCTTCCTTTAACAACGTCTTAAGGAACCAAAATGAGGGGAAATCCTATTATATATTTGATGCTAACTTACAGGGAAACACAGATAAATAGGATCGAAATAGGGAGTGAGCGACGGAATAGTGCTCACAAGGAAATAAGATTTAACGAAGCATGGGATAGATGAATGAGAGAACACTCTGTTAGGGTGACAGGTTAACCGGAAGACTGATTTTGAGGGATTAAAGTTTCCTGGGAAGGATAGATGGGACAGACCAAAACATGGGAGATGGGAAGTTACGGGTAGGTGACGGGGACCAGGCAGTGGGTGAGGTGGAACAGGCAGTGGGTGAGGTGGAACAGGCAGTGGGTGAGGTGGAACAGGCAGTGGGTGAGGTGGAACAGGCAGTGGGTGAGGTGGAACAGGCAGTGGGTGAGGTGGAACAGGCAGTGGGTGAGGTATTAAGTGATAAAGATGTTCACTCAAATTATATATATGTTTTTAAACAATCTTATTAGAGTCCAGAAACGACGTATAATTTATCAATTAATTTGATCGAATAATAATAAACTCAAATGGATAAACACGAGACTAAAGAACCAAACTGGTAAAAAGAATACATTGTAAAACAAACAGAAAAACAATAAAGAATGTGGAAGTTAGTTAAGAACAACAACTTAATAAACAAGTTAGAAATGTTACAAATAAGGAAAACCACAGCCAAAGACAAATTCTAGAGTTTTTTTCATTTATATTAAAAAAATATTAGAGAAAAAACCTGATCATTAACAATTAATTCAAGTCAGGTAACTGATAATGACAAATGAACATTATTTAAAAAAAACTTCTTTGTCTCTGCATATTCTAGCTAAGAGCTTAGGATAATGCCTTCAGCTGAATTAATTCTTCAATGTGTTGAAGGCCAGAAGTTGACAAGAGATTAACAGGGAGAGGAAGTTATTAAACAAATTAAAAAATTAAAGTCAAACAAATCTCTAGAGCTAGACAAAGTGTTTGCCGAGGAGCTTAAAGAATGTGAACAATGACTTAGTCAGAATACCAGAATCATGGAGGGTTGTTAATGTGGTGCTACTTATTAAGAAGAGAGATAGATTACTTGAGGCAGTAATATTTGTAAATTTGCAGATGATACGATTAGGCGGTAAATCAATTCAGAAGACCACTAAAAAATCCCGAGACGATCAAGATAAACTTTTGAAATAGACGAAAGATTGGCAAAGGCAGTTTATGCTGACAAGAATACAGTTCTGTAGAGAGGTAATGATGATAGAGTTAGCAGATATCAGCTGGAAAGTGTTGAAATTACGAAATTTGAATGCGAAAAAGATCTGAGAGTCATGATTAGTAGGAATTTAAAGTGAAACAATAAATGTATATTCGTTCGGAATAAGGTAAATAGGATACTGGGACTTATTTCTAGAAGCGTTAGCAATAAAACCCTCTTATTACAGACAAGGATACGACCCAATTCGTGTTTAAGTGTATAATTGTATTTTTTCTTCATTCAGATACTACAGTATTACACTAAGCTTTCATAGACAGTGTGATTCTTCAGCACTATCTTGCTCTTGCTAGGGCCTTATTCAGATTATGCAGTTAAATGTTGGTCACCGTATTGTAGAATAGAAAATTCTCACCTGAAGGCGCTCAGCAACAGATGACACACACACAGCCCCGCTCCTGTGTCAGGTAAGTCCACTACGGGCTCACCATAGCCCGTGCTATTTGCCCCGCTCCTGTGCCAGGAGTGGGTTCACCATAGCCCGTGCTACTTGGAACTTTTTCCGAGTAGCTGAATCTGTAACAACAGATGACAAAGTTAATCCCATGAATTTGAAATCATCCACTCGAAGTAAGATTAATAAAACTTAATTTACATTCCTAACAAAGACTAAAATTAAGGCGTGATATGACTGAAATGGTCCAGTGGATGATTGGCTATAGCAAACGGGAATATTAATAAGGTATTAAATAAAGTAACACAACAAATTTTATATATATTAGATAAGTTTAAAATCAGAAAAGACCTGGATAAATACTGGTTTGGAAACAGGGTTGATGTTTTGTGGAACAAATTACCGGGTAAGATGTTGATTGTTTCAAGCTTAGTTTAGACATATATATGAATGAGCTTGGGTGGCAATATAATTAGTAGCTGCCTCGTATAGGCCTATAGGCTTTCTACAGTGTCCTTAATAAAGGAATTAAATTTAAGTGCTGAAAGCCAACTACCTCACACGAAGGCGTATTTATTTAAACCCAACCAAACTGTTTCACACATGTCTAACCTTCGCTTGAAACAAACCAGCGATCCCACGACTATTATGTAACACGAAGCGAAGGCAATAGATCGCGATAATCACAGAACGGCAGAAAAGAATTTAGAAAAAGAATTCCGTACATAGCGAATGGTAAGTCTTGACCTACTTAACATTCAGAACAAATATAACATAGCAGATCATAGCAGAACAAATCGGCTTTAGAACAAAGCCGATTTTTGACGAATGAAAGTTTCTGCTATGTTAATTTAGAACAAATTAACATAGCAGAACAAATCACCTAGTTAATAAGGCTCAAAACAGTGTCATAGTTGGACCGAACCAGTCTAACCAACCAATGGACCGGACCAATGGATTGTTGGACCAGTTGGACCGGCCCAATCCATGCCAGCTTAAGCTAAATGGATTTCCACTGACCACACATAAGCTTACCCGGGGAAGCCAGTCTTTCTTACCAATCTTTCGTCTCTTTCAAAAGCTTATCTTGATCGTCTTCGGTCTTAACTAAATAATTTGTTAATAAGACTGGCACTCCAAAGCTTTTTCATGCGTCATAGTCGCCTTCGTAAAAAAAAGAAGATATTAGCATGATAATAAAAAAATAGTCGAACCGTGGATGTACCGTTATCTTCGGCGGGTCGCAGTACCGGGTGTACCCTCAGGCATTAAGAGGTTAACATGTTAAAAAATAAAATATAAAATAAACAGTCAAAAAAAAAAGGGGGGGGGGGTTGAAAGGGTGGGGGGGGGGGAGGGGGGTGTCTATAATGGTTGTCAACGTAAACATTTTTAACACAACTGGAACATTAATTCTCTTCCTAAGCAGACCTGAGAGTTGTTAAGAGTTCAGAAGGAAGAACAGGGGCTTAAAATCGACCTTGTAACACCATCTCTAATGAGACCTTGCGAATACAGGTCTTGGACTTACAGGTGGTTAAGGGCTATGAAGCCTAATTGGTCATTGGCTACGGGTGGCTGAGGGTTACATGCTAACTATAGGGCTACATATAGAGGGCTTCAGGTGGTGTAGACCTGCAGGTGGTGTGAGGCTGCAGGTGGCTCAGGTGTGGGCAGAAAGGGGAGGACAGGTGGTACAAACCAGTAATGGTTAGAATAATGACAGAGGAACAAATCCACAAGGCTCGGAGAGGCTACGGATCCAGTAAGTTCAGTAGAACTTCGGTTTCAAACCCTTTTACCCTGTCGTAGCTCAGTCGATTAAGGCAGTGTCTGGGATGTTCCCGGACGCAGGCTCGAATCCTCGTCACGGCCCTTATGGATTTGTTCATTTGATGCATCACATTAGTGTGATCTCTGTGTGTGGAATGGCAGAGGAGCCAGAAGGTGTAGGGAAGAAAGAGAGAGAAAAGTGGCCACAGGGAAGAAAGAGGGTGTGAGACTTGGCATGGGGAAGGGGAAGGTGTATGTATGTGTGGGGAGGGGGGACAGCAAGAA